GGTGCCAATCGTCGCCGTCGTGTTGTTCCAAGACCTGTCTCTTATACACATCTAGATGTGTATAAGAGACAGCTACTACTAGCGCCCAGCGCTGAAGACTACTGCTAGCGCTAAGCTACTCCTGCAGCGCTCCTCCTGAGTGCTGCGGCCGAATCCTGAAGACTACTCCTGCCTTCTGTCCAACTACCTACCCGTGAAGTGCATGGGAACTCCCTATGTTCTTCTCGGCCTGCCTCCTGACTGCAGGGTGAGGCAGTCCAGGAGGCTGCTCTTGCCAATGCCGAAGGGAGTCAGGGGCTGCCGCTGCAGCTCCTGATTGAGGCTGTCGTGGGGACAGGCTAAAGATAGCCTGTTCCCGAAACCCTGGTTTTGTGCCTGAGTGTTAGGGCAGGTCGATCTTATGAGGGCCCGAAAGTGGCCCTCCGTTTCAGGCTGAAAAGCCTCAGGGCTGAAAAGCCCTGTTTTAGGCTGAAACGACATAGGGCCTGCAGGCCCTCGTTTTTCAGTCTTTCAGGCTGAAACGACAGGGGCCTGTAAGCCCTTATTTCTAGGCTTTTAGGCTGAGAATGCGGGACGGGCCCTGCAGGCCCGTGTGGCTACACAGTATGCCACAGTATGTCTTCATAGTAGAGCTTGGCGTAGTGGAGCATGCCTACAACAGTGGAGGCGTTTGGAGCTGTGTTATCGAAGGGGTGGCGGAGTTCAACTGTCTGTTGGCCGCGGCTGCAATTTCTGAAAGGTTTCTTTAGTCATCTGGTCATGAGACTCTATCCCTTCTCTTTGAGCATCTCCAACCATCTTTTCTGCTTGTCCCGTTGGAGCTTGTTACATTCCACCAACCTCCTTCCCCGTTCTGCAGCCCACACCATTGCTGAAATATGGCGCCCCTTCATTCTCTCTTCCGCTTCTTCTACTCTCTTCTTGCAGACAGCCTCCTTCACACTCATTGCTCTCGCAAGTATCCTGGAGCAAACGTCTAATATCCCGGATGCAATTGCCAGGCCACCATCCAACCATTCTGCTGTGTCAGAAAAGGATTCTCTTGCCTCTCCCACCTAGCCATATGATCGTCAACCCATTCGTAGATACCTGGATTCTCTAAGACCTGCTTATTTAATCTAAAGAAACCCTTACCCCTTTTACATGCCTATTGTAATCTGATTTCCGTTGTGACCGGCTTGTGGTCTGACAGGGGACTGCACACATGTCGTACTGTTGTTACTCTAGGAAGCAACTGATCACACACCAACAGGTAGTCAAGGCGCCATCCTGGTAAATCGTTGCCTGTTATGATACAGGTGATAAAACCAGGTGTATCCCGGGTCTTCCGGATTCAACAGTCAGAAAGGATCCGCAAGAGACAAGGCCTCCGTTAAGAGCGGCAACTTTCCACGCCTTTTTTTCGGCGGCTGCCGAATCCGGGCGCAGAGCGTCATCCAAGGACCCGTTCCAGTCCCTGGCTATCATGACGTTCTCCACCCTTGGAATGTTGGAGATGAGGTTTCTGAAGAAGGCCTCCCTCTCTTTCAAGTCGGTTGGTGCGTAGACCGTCATTAGGAGCTGTTCGTTTGTCCCCACCTCTATCCGCATCCATGCCCAGCGCCCCCAAATATCTGCTTCCTTGTCAATTATCTGTACCTAAAGATCCCTGTGCAGCAGGATGCAGACTCCACCTCTAGTCCCCTGTGCTGGGGACCAGACTTGAGTACCCTCCCACCAAAGGCCCAAGTCCCTGATCTTTTCCTCGTTTAACTTCGTCTCTTGTAACATAACGCAGTTCCAATTCCAATCATGAAGCCATGACTTTAGAGCTCGCCTCTTCCATCTTCCGTTTGCGTCCCCCCAGCCCTCTGATATTCCAAGAAACCAACTTGAGTTTATTTTATCGATTCTTTCTGCTCCCACTTGTTCTTGGATACAGGTTTGTGCCTGTGATTGGCCCGAATGACCTTCGTGATGTTCTGGACCTGTCATGTGTGCTTCGTGATGTTGAGATCTCCGTTCTGCCCCTGTTGCTCTAGTATCCCGTGACCTTCGTGATGTTCTGGACCTGTCACACGTGCTTCCACAAGAAGAGTTCAACTCCGAGAGGACCTGCCAGTCTGCCGTGAGGGCTCTGGCGAGGAAGGGAGAAAGCAGGCTCTCATCTGCCTGGAGTTTCTCATTCACATTTCTTAGGCTGGTGGCTGAAATATCCGGTAGGATCTTGATGAGACCCAGCTCCTCTATGCACTGGTCTGATAGTTTGGACAAGTCCGCCACCTCCGGTGGAATTCAGGCATCCAGCAACGGAAAGTATAGGTTGTAAAATCATTCTCCCGATGTCGAGCGGGGGATCAGCCGTTTTGTGACATGTTCCCCGTATAGTGCCTTTGTGAAACTGAAGATTTCAGTTGGAGTGGGGGAATGCACCACATCCGCTGAAGGCAAAACTGGCGAGCCATCCGGTTGCGCAAGGGCCAGAAAATACACGCCATCATTCGCCATTGTGCAGAGGAGGGGCACTAATCTTCTTTGCACCGTCTCCGCTTGACTCTTGCGCGGTGTGTCCGCTCTCTGATCTTGAGCCTGATCCAAATTACCGTCCTCCATAGCTTCTTCGTTCCCTGATTTCTTTGTAGCTGCTGAACTGAGCATCGAAGAACGTTCGTCATCTGAACGCTTAGAAACCTTCTCCCCTTCGTACCACTTGCTTCCCCACTTCACCCTGGATTGGGAAGAGGCTGAGGTTCTCGACAATTCGCTCAAGATTCCTTTTGCACCTTCTACTTGTTCTGCAATTTGGTTCAAGTCACCCCTAATACCTGGCTGGTCCCCAGATCGGGTCTGAAACCTGGCCCCATGGTGCATGGAATCTACTTCTCTCCAACCTCTCTCTTCTTGCCTGCCTTGTTCTCTCCAACTTTGCTCTCTACTCCCGCTTCCAATCGCTCTCCGATGGTCTCTCCAATCTCCACTTAGACTTCTTATGCCAAGTCGTGACTGGCCCAGCCTTTCCGGATGCCTTGAAAGACCAGGCATAAATGAGTGGGAATCTCTACACTGTGGAGCTATGTCCCTCCAGTTATATGAACTAGACGAATATCTCGGGAGAGGGTGGAACGGAGCTACCAGAGCATACAGGTCCTGGTAGGCCTGTTCCATGCAACCCATGCGGGCGTCCTGAGTGAGGCCCAGCTCCCCAGAGAGGGTCCTGCCACTGAGGGTGCCCTGCCAGGGAAGTCTCCCTTTCACCGTAATAATTGCCTCCCGACCAGTCTGTTCTCTCCAGCCACGGTGGCATGAGGGATGGGCGGCCTGTATGTTCCATTGATATTAGATTTCCGCTTCGCCCTCCTATGAAACGCTCCTCTGTGTCCATACCATTGGCTGAACCCAAATGAAGGGTTTGGGCTCGAGGGCCCAGTGTTTCCTCTGGACGAGATCCCTTCGACATGGGTCTGACCCCCTGAGGGATCTGACCCTGGTCCAGTAAGGTGCGGAGGAAGCATTCACTGTGCATTGACCGTCTCCACCTCTGACATCTTGACTGCTGAGCTGGAGCCTGTCACTCATTGTGACCTGATCTGTCGATCTAGGGCCTTGGACTTGAGCACCGTTTGAGACTGGAGGCTGTTGAGCCATGGCTACTTTCTCCATGGC